TGTCCCTCAGAACCTCTTATTCTCGTCTTTATTATGGAATTCTTAGAAGAGAAGAAATGAATCTATCTTCCAAGGCCTACACACCGACTGCGAAAGTATTTTTCATCGGAGGTTATCATGGGAAAGATTATTCTCTATTTTATTACATTCTTGAGGGACAAAATCAATCTGAACCAACCACGATCTATTAAGCAAATCTGCAATATGTGGAATCATGGAATCACCACCCAAAATTAACTCGGAACCAAGCGCCGCCAACGCATCTCTGCTGTCTGTTTCTAATCTCACCATTCGCCTCCCCAACGACCATGCTATAGTAAGGCCTTCAAAGATACGCCATAACTCTGCATCCAAAGTCGAGCAAACACCAATGAACTTGTTAAAGCCTCGTATCGAAGTTCCCTCATCATCACGTAAAACTCCTCCACAAGTAGCATCAGTGTTAATGTTTATCCATCCAACGGGAAGAGGATTCCATGGAATTTGAAAATTTACAGGAGGTACACATCTTCCTTGCCAAGCTTGCCTAAACATCTTCGCATTATTGGCCTCCAAAAGGAGTCTATGACTTTGTTGTAAAACACTTTCTGCTATAATATGTTATGGGTCAAAAATCAAATGATTTTGACGCATTCAAAGACACAAAATTGTCGATCCAAACATTATATCCCAATAAACCTCATCATTAGGAAAATAACTCGGTTGGAAAAGATTCTTCTCGATCCAAGTACTCATCTCAAGATTGTTGAATTCCTCCAATCGAGATGGTTTTACCAATCTATTCCATGTCATTCGAGTAATCGCACAATCCCTGAAAATATGAAAACACGACTCCACGACAACCCCACAAATTGCGCAGCTCACATCCGATGTCATATGGCGCCTTACGCACTCCTCATTAGATAAGATTCTGCCTTTACAAATCAGCTAAAATGACATTCAGACTCTTGGTAAACCTTTGTACTTCATTAAAAGGCCCCACCAAGGTGATTCTAGTGCTAAATTGCTATGGGTTCGTTTATCATAAGCAATCCTTATTGTAAACTTCATGCAGCCATCCCATTTCCATGTTGGTGTGTCTTATCCTCCATGAGCAAGGGAGAGTCGAAACGCATCAAAAGTCGACAGGATTAAAGGTGAAAACCACATGAATCCCCAATCCCATTCACCAAAGTTATCAACCATTTCACTAACCTTCAAGTGAGGGAGCGACTGAATATTTGGCCAGATACAGTGATGCTTCAAAGGCCCAAACAAACCAAGCCGAAAGTCATTCCAAAATGCAATTTTTGATCCGTTCCTTAGGTTCCACAAAATATCTTCCCGAACATCACCCCAAATTCGACTAATCCTTGACCACAACCATGGCAACCACGTCAATTAATAGTCTCCGGAGTGATTTCTTGCATTTTTTATTTACCATACAATACTCAGTTCCATAGGTGACCCCTGTCCGAGACTAATCGAAAGCCAACCTTCATGAGAAAAGATTCGTTTTGAGAATAAAGGTGTTTAACGCTAAGACCACCCTCTTTGTTCGGTCTTCAAAACTCCTCCCACCAAACAAGACGGACGCCACGTTTCTCTTCAGTACAACCCCATATTAATTTAAGTTTTATAAAATTAGGGTTAACTCTACCGTAACCACCTAACTATTTCCCATTTTCAGTTTAACAATCGATCTTTTAATTTTGTCAATCAGGTCACATAATTATTTAAATGCATTCAATCAAGTCATTTTTCGTTAACATTTGACGAAAGTACTAACGTGACAATTACTAAATTTGGTATAATTACACATTTTATCATCGATACTTATATATTCAATCAATTTAGTCATAATTTTAATTGAATTCAATAAATTTAATCATCTAATAAGATAGTGATATGTGTCACCGTTTGATTAAAGGTTATTTTTTTTATAATTTAATATATTTAATTTAATTATTTTTTTTCCAACCCGATGATGACACATGTAAATATCTAGTTGGATGAAAAACAAATTACAAAGGAAAGTATTTTAAGTAGCTACAAAGGCTCAAACCTAAGTCTTTGGATATCTTATATCCGCCCAGCCTAAACCATCATTTGAGTTGTGAAATACAAAATAATATGTATATTTTATACTTTAATTAATACTAGGAAAAATGAAAGGAAAGTAGCTATATTAGCATTCAAACCTAGGTCAAGTATAAAACTTGACGGCACAAAACCACTAAAGAAAATTTTATATTTGATTAGTAATTGAATAGATTTTATATATACGTTAAACATTCATTTATACAAGATTAAAAGAAAAACTAAATTTAATATTTTTTTCACATTTATAATTTAATGATTCTAAATATAGTTTTAAAATTAAAAATTTTAATTTTATTATGTGTGTACGTGTGTGGGTATGCGTGTGTATGTGCATGTGTGTGTGCTTGTTTATGTGCGTGTGTGCGCGTGTGCGTGAACAGTATGAAATTAGAAGGTATTTACCGGAAAAAAAGAGTCAATCTTAATAATCTTTTTTCACTCATTTAACGGTCCTAAATCTGTGTAAAACTAAAAGAGTTTTACATTGTGTAAGTGGATCATATCCCATTAAAAAAAACAATGAGTCAATCTCAGTCATTTATTTTCACTCATCCAACGGTCCTAAATTTGTGTAAAACTAAAATAGTTTTACCTTGATCCACTTACACAATGTAAAACTAAAAGAGTTTTACACAAATTTAGGATTGTTGGATGAATGAAAATAGATGGTTGAGATTAATTCCTTGTTTTTTTTCTCAATGAATATCTTCTCATTTCCTACTACTAATCTCAATCATCTATTTTAACTCATCAAACAACCCTAAATCTGTGTAAAACTAAAGAGTTTACATTGTGTAACAATATCTTATCTCTCTATCTCTATCTCTCTCGAACCAAAAATTATACTTACTCCACTCGATCCAAAAAATATTCATCCGACTCGACATTTTGAGATGAAATCCGAATCTGACCCTACCCAACCCTAAATAATATATTTATTAAAAGTATATTATTATTCAATAAAAATAGGGATTTAATTGAAAAATAATATATGATGTAAAATTATATGACATAAAATTATATTTTTTGGGGTCAGATCGAGTCAGATATTTTTCACACTGAACACAAACCCTACCTGAACCCGAAGCCAATTTTGTTTTTTTAAAAAATATGACCCAAATTTATTTAAAAAATCTGACCCGATTAGGTTGGATAGTTTTCACCCTTAACCTAAACTTGACAAGAACCTGGAATTTTTTATAAAAAATATGATCCGATCGGGTTGGGTCGGAACCTGTCGGGTTTGGGTCCTGTGTCAATCTCTACTCCTAGCTACTTAAAATGCTTTCCTTTGTAATTGTTTTCATCCAACCAGATGGTGCATGTCACTATCTAATTAAATGATTAAATTTATTGAAATAAATTAAAATCATAACTAAATTGATAGAATATATATGTATTAAGGATCAAATGTGTAATTATACCAATTTTATTAACTGTCACATTAGCACTTCCGTCAAATGTCAGTGGGAAGTGGCTTGATTGAATGCATTTAAATAATCAAGTGAGCTGATTAACAAAATTAAAAGATCGATGGTGAAAGTAATAAGGGACAATAGTAAGATGGTCAATGATATAATTTACCCATAAAATTATAATAAGGCTATATTATGATCATAATATAAAATACAAACAGTATAATTATTCAAAATGGCACACCCGCATAAGGGTGTTTAAATGGCTAATGCAGCCATTCACTTAATCGAATTTCTATTAATTGAACTTCTTTTTATCTAATCGTTAATCGAACTAAATTTTTTTAAAAATATTAATTGAACTGAAAAAGGATCGGTTAATTTGCCGATTTTTTTTATAAATTCTTTTAATCAGAATAATTTGAATTTAGTAGAAAGGTGTTTTATCTATTTGATCGGGGTGTGGATATTGAAAATTGCTCGCCAATCATTTCACACAATGTTAATCTAATTGGCTGAGAATGGAAAATAATTTTCTACTTTGTGCCGAGGGAAGCGAACAACTCGCGAACGGATTAACCAAGATTACATGGAGACTCCCTTTCAATATCCATTTTTTCGACCAATCACCGGAGGAGTGAAAACCAATTCTTTTATCAGAGATGTCAGGATCGAGGAGCTACCTTTTCCTCGTAATGATGCTACGATTCTATGAGATCTCTTCATAATAAAAAGAAAAATACATTTTTATTTAGTTTAAAATTTAATTACGTCCTGATAATTTAATAAGCATAATGTAGTTAAAAAATAATTAAGTCCTAATATCTGATAAACTTGAATTTAAAATATACTTAATATTTCGATTGATTCAATTAATTAACTAATTTTAAATTAAATCAACTATTAATTAAATATTAAAAATTAATAATTCCTAGACTAAACTATTTTGATACCGGCCATTTTAATAGAACAAATTAAGTTCAATAAATTAATTCAATTAACACCGAAAAATTAACATCCGCATTTTGCATTTTCCCGACTCTAAACGTGGCAAGCCTGTCAGGAGATTTGCTTAAACTAACTGTATAGCAAATCCAATACCCAAAATGGATTTGAAAGAATCAAGAACGCCATTGCTGGGATGTTTTTAAGTTATAAACTCTATCTAAAGGGGTTCGAGCACAGGTTCAAATACGATTAGAATTTTTTTTATGTATAAAAATTCATTATCAAACGATTAAAAAAATTTATTAACCGTTAAAGTATATAAAAAATTTATTTTCAAAAAATTAAATTATTTTCAAAATACTATCTTATATTCGCATCATACTAAAAAAAAACACCTAAAGGTTAACGTAGATTTTGAATTTAAAAATTTACTCAACTTGTTGTAAATTCCAAAACTAATGAACTTCTCTCTTTTAATGAAAAACAAAGAAGATTTACTCGAAACAAAGCATACATACATAGGTGAAAATAACAAAGGTAGAACCTAAAGAAAGTAAACATACATGCATTTTTTAAGAAAAATATTTCCCTCAACCTCCTAAACATACCGACTCTGAATCTCCCACATCCTCTTCAATCACCGCGCTCTTATCATCCCTTGTTAGGCTCATGCTTGATGCCGATGAGCCAGCAACATCCGATAGACCTATGTTCAGAAAGTCGGCCTTCCGCTTGCGTCTGCTCTGCTGCCATTTTCTTATTATATCAGACACCTCGCTCTGGTCGCTTCTGCCACCGATTGCTGGTTCTCTCGCTTCCTCTACCCGAAGCCTTGTGTCCCTTTCATGTCCGTTACCGAAACCTGATGTGATAAATGGAAAGAATAGCGGTCTAAAGCAACAGCCAACGAGGACTATGAGGAACAACGTGTAGACGTAGAGCGATGTCCATGCATACAGCGTCCACTTCCAATTGTGGACCAACTGTTTAGGCCAAGGCAACTGTGAGTTCATGATGATTTCAGCTTCGTACAACTGTGGAAGCGACAAAGTCCCGGCCCTTGGTGATAAAGTGACCCTAATGGCTTCACTTCTGGGATACCCTTCTTTATATCTCAGTATCTCGGTCTTCACCTTTTGTGCCTCATTTGAAATTCCGAGTAAGAAAGGTATACCCATCAGAAATGTGCGCGCAAGTCGAACCGGTAGACTTGTAAACCGCAACATCACCGGCTGGCTAGACTTGGCCATTATATCTCCATTAATTGATAGCAATTCTGCACTCAACTGGTCAAACAAATATATGTGAAACAAATTCATATCTACAAAGTACAAGAGGCCTCTCTATCTTCACTTTTTATTGTCAAAACAAGATGGTACTAACCAAGTTTACAATCTGAGATCCAATTGCATAAAAAAATCTCCAAAATTTTATATTCATAACAAGGGACGGACAAAATTTTAGGAACGACATAAGATTTTATGTTAGAGAATGAACCTATAAAATTTTAGAAAGGAAACAATTATGAATAAAAATACAAATAAAATGTATAAAATATAGGGGAATTTAAAATTTTTAGGATGGATGGATGTCGGTTCATCCGGGCTTGTAATAAGAGATAAGAAATAAAATCAGAATACCTGAAAGACTCCAATATTTATGTTGAAATCAGATTCAGGCATCAAAAGGACCAAATGAACATGAATGGTATGACCAATTGGAACAGTCATCTGCTTCTTCCTATAATTGCTGCCATCATCGAATCCACCGCCGCCGGAACGAAACACCGCCGTAGGGTTCACCTGGGTGTAGTCGAAGAACAATTTCTGTCGAAGGAAAACCGGCTCCTCCACCCAAATTTGCACCAAACCGATCCCTACCAAAGCAGCCAAGACCATCAAAAAGACCAACAGCATGCACACCTTAGCAGCTCCAAGAAGTCCCAACCCAACTCTCTTGAGCAAGACGGAGCTACCGTGGGTGATGTTGGAAGGGAGCCTCTGAACAGCCGTCTCGACGCTGGCCGCCGTATCTTCGGCACGGTGGTAGGAGTCTAAGGCTGCGGATGAGAAGGTGAAGAAAGGGGAAGAAAGAGCGATGAAACAGTTGTAAAGGATATCAGCTTGAAGAGATAGTAAGGTAGTGAGAGAGTCTGCTGGTTTTGGTACAGCATGGTTTGCTTGTGCTTGAGGTTCTTTGTCCTCCATTTCAGGCGGTGAGAGAGATTGAGAGGAAGCGATGATGAGAGTAAATTTGTGTTTAGGGTTAGTATGACCCAACCGCTTGTAAAGCTGCTTTTGCATGAGCAGAGATACGTGGAGACAATGCAAGGTTGGATACGACACGTGTTGCTGAATCTTCCGCTTCAGATCTGTTTTTAGAAATAATCTATTCAAGAGTAAAGTAATGTCCAGCCTGGCCGTCCTAAATTTTGTGTATAGCATGTGTTATATTTTAAAATAAAAGTTTACAATTTTTTCTACAATTTCTTAGAATGAAAAGGAAAATTTGTTTTCTCTTCGAACCATAATATTCTTAGTGCACAAATATTATACATGGACAAGTTTAAATGCCATTTATATGTGGGGCTACTAAATTTTGGAGCTATTGTGATGGATCACATGCCATACACATTGGATAAACATATGTACAACTCAAACGACTATCAATTTTTTCAATAAAATGACGAGTTTTGAACATATAAATAGTCAATTGACTATCTTATAACTTTTAATAGTTGAGGACTAGACAAATCAATGATCTATAATCGAAAGATCATTTTATAAATTTTAATTATCAATGATTCAACAAAGCAATGTCCTATAGTTGAGGGACTATTAAGGTGCTTTACCCTTTATTAAAATGTCCTCTTAAGATATTTAAGTATTTTTATATAAATTCTTTAAAAAATTCCAGCGCTAAAATAAATGTTGTTCTCTTTATATGTTTCGGTTTGAAACAAATGTACTTATAAAGTGCACGTTATCCATGATTAAGAAATTTTTTAAATAAATATTATCTTATAATTTATTCAAATTATTTTTTGAAAAAATATTTATATATTTAAATTCTTTCAAATAATGTCCATATAAATATTTAACTATTTCCAAATATTATTTAAAAAATATTATTAAATAGTTAACTAAAATTAATTTTTCTTAATGTATTATTTTCTGAAAATTTTCAAAAATATTTTATAGATATTTATTTTTTCATTTTTAATTTTTTATTTCTTTAAAAGTTTCGACTTTTTAAAAAATAATTTCTCTTAATTTTCTTATTTTCAGGAATTATTTTTCCTATTTTAAAAATCTTAATTTTGAGTGAAAAATATATCTTTTATTAAAATTTAAATTAACGTAAACTCTTTTGTGCGACATATGAATTACTTTGTTTGAAATAACAACAGTCAAATAGTTTTATAACCGAATAATAATTTATTTAACTTTTTTATAGTTATATTTTATTTTAATATTTTTTAAAACAATAAATTATTTTTTAAAAAACATGTAATCAAGCACAATTTTGTGCATCAAATTATTGTTTAAGGACTTATTTGATGTTTTAGAAGTAGTTTACGGGTAAAACTAGATATTAACCGTTCTGTTAATGTTGTCACGCCATCAATTTAATGGGGATAACAGTGAAATGACCGTTTTGTTACAATTTGTTAATGTTAGTGACCGATATGTTACTTTTTAAAATTTCGGTGGGGAAAACAAAAATTTACTCAAATATTAGTGATCATTTGTGTAGTTTACCCTTATTATTATTATTATTACAAACAGTAAAAAAGAAAACTAAGGGTATGTTTGTTTCTTAGTAATTGGTTTTTCGGAAAATGTTTTTCTCATTTTCCAGTGTTTGGTTGGTGAAAAACAAAAATCAATGCAATTTATTTTTCTGGTCAACATAATTTCCTTTGCATTTTCTGAAAAATGATTTATAGTTTGATTTTCCGTAAGTCGTTTCCCGAACTTTTCACTTCAAAGCATAAATATTCAAAATAATATTATTTTATGTATTTAATGTTAATATACTATTTTAGTATCATTTTAATAAAATATTAATTATTAAAATATATTTATGAATATTTTTAATAATATAATATTATATTTTTAGTGTTATAATAATATATTTCATTATATTATATAATATATGATATTATATTCTTATTTTAATAATATCTAAAAAATTATATTATTTATTACAAAAAATAATATTCGAATAACGATATTGATATAAATGATACCAAATAAATTATTTTAATATGTTAAAAGTAATTGTAATATTTATTTAATAAATAGTATTATTTATTGTATTCAATATTTATAATAAATATTTTGTATAAAATTTATCAACAAGTGGAAAATGATTTACACAATACCGTAAAATGATTTTCAGAAATTATTTTCCAAAAAATATGATTTATTTTACAGAAATCATTTTTTGAAATCTATTTTACATTAAACAAACTTACCCTAAGCTAGAATCAGAGGTCCAAGTCTCTTATTGCTCCAAAGGGAAATCAGCGATGAACAATCATTGCACTTTCTCTGGTGGAGTTCTGAAGGTCTTAACACCAAAAGGTAACGTCCATGCCATCTTTGTCAACTCATTCGCAACCGGATTGCATTCCTTCGGTACATTCACAACATTCAGATTTTAATCTTGTCGGATCAAACTTAAATATGCGGTACCAACGACAAAACTTTATTCATTTCCTGTTCTTGAAGAAGTAATTTTACGATGTCTTAACTGTATTTCAACCATAATATTTTGCATTCCAAGATCCATTGTCACACCGAGACCAGTGAGTACTCCCCATACTTCGGCTTCTAACACCAAACAACACCCAACGGCCTTCGTAAACCCTGCAATCCAAGCTCCAATAGAATAGCATAGAACCCCGCCACTTTATTTGCCGATTACTTTTTTCAAAATGTGTTCCCAACCGATTCTTATATAAAGCTGAGCATTGGAAGCTTCGATTTGCTTGCGTTTGCCCCTTTGGACTATACGATATAATATCATTCGGTTCATAAATGCTTTTATTCCGCCTTACCTAGATACTCCAAACAATCAATCCAGAAATGATGTCTCAATCTTCTACGTATTTTGGGAAGTAACTCGGCTGCTATAGGTTGATACGAATCCATTCCTTTATGTCTAATGTAAGGAACCCGTATATTTTGGTTGGTTCGATTAGCTCTCCCCACACCACTCTTGCAGCTACGCATCCTTTGAAGAGATGCGATGTTTTCTTTTCTTCATCAGCACCATTACTACAAAAATAATCATTTGAACAGTGTCACTGAACAAACTCAACATTAGTCATTAGTCGATCTTTACAGGTTAACCAAAGGAGCAAGCGAACTCTTGGCAATCCCTAATAATTCGAGATCAACTTTCATAATTTCACATCCTCCATGCTAGTTGTTGGATCTCTCCTTAATTGGAGAGGTTCTAGAAAATTCTAGAGCTTTCTGGAGAAGTGTAGAATTTTCTAGAACATTCCGGAGAACTCTAGAGAAGTGTAGAACTCTCTAGAAGCTTGTGGAAGAGTGTGAAATCCTCTGGAATATTCTAGAGATGTGTGGAACCTTATGGAAGAGTATGGAAGGATATAGAAGGGAGTGGAAGAGTGTAGAGTTTCTTAGGGTGTGTGGTGCATTCTAGATAATTAATCTCCACCCTTGGATGTAAGTAATCTCCACCATTCATTGTGGAGGTGTAGTATAAATAGGGGTGAGAGAGAAATCCAAAAAATACTAAGAGAGTTCACTTCTTAAAGTGAGAAACTAGAGAGTTAGAGAGCTTCTTTGAGAGAGAAGAGAGATAGCTTGGGAAGTCTTTATCCTCAAGCTTGAGTGAGCCACCAATTGTGAGTCAAATTTTGTGAATACATCCTTGTAATCTTACTATTATTTTGTATAGTGGAAGAATCTCCAAATTGGAGAATTATACTTTTGTGCTCTCTTTACTATCCTTAATCTCTAAGTGCCTATATTAACTTCACGAAGTGGGAAAGACCGTGATTCCCAACACTAGTGTTGGTTATACTATGTGAGAATACACTTCTATTGGAGAATCATATATGCTCTTCCCACTGCCTTATCAGCTTGTCATTGGCCATATTTACTAGAGATAGCTTCATTGCGGCAATACATAGAATTGTCGTTTGAGGAAGTAAGTTTCTTATTAATTTCAAGCGCCAGTTCCAATAATAGTCCACCATATCTAGGACGGGAATTTTGTCCACACACAGGGATGTATTATTTTAACTTGGTGCATTTAATGAACCAATCTAGGACGGGAATTTTGTCTACATGCAGGGATACATTATTATAACTTAGTGCATTTAAAGGACCAATCTAGGACCAACAAGAATCATATAACTTAGTGCACTCCAATAGAGTCCACCATATTTAGGACGGGAATTTTATCCACATGCAGGGATGCATTATTATAACTTAGTGCATTTAACGGACCAATATCACCACACCAAGCATCTCCCCAAAAGTCCTTAGTCCTCACATCTCCTTGGCACCATCCAACTTCATTTTGAACCTTGTTCCAAATAGTGCTTAGACCTTTTCATAGTTGATAGTAGCCTTTTTGATCAATAATTTTCGATAAGAGTTCTCAGACCTTATAATTTGCGTAAAAATCTAGCCCAAAACTGACCAGATTCCGACATCATCCAAAATATTATTTTCCTGAGAAATACCTTATTCTACATGTGTACTTTACGCATGCCCAAGCCTCCTAGATCAATAGTCTTTCAAACCTCCTCCCACCCGACCAAATTTAAGCCTCGCTTATCATCGGAGTGACCCCAAATAAAATTTCTAATTAAGTGTTCCATCTCTTCGTATATCCCCTTAGGGAGGTGGAATGTTTTTATGTCATAAGATGAAACTGTCGACAATACTAAAATTTAGCTAGAACCACACGACCAGCTAAGGACAAGGTCTTTTCCTTTCAACCAGATAACTTATCTAGGATTTATTGGACAAGATAATTATAGGTGCTCTTTGTTACTTGACCATGTAGTAACAGGACGCCAAGGTATTTTCCCAAATTATCAACTTGTGTATATTGGAACCGAACACTAATATCCATTTTAATAGTTACACCAACATTGTGCGAAAAGAAGATATTCATTTTCGCAAGGCTTACCTTGTGCCTGGAGCTATCACAAAATTCCCAATGAACCATTTGAATTATGTCAAGTTGGGAGAGCGATGACTCCGCAAATAGGATAAAATCGTCCACAAAGAAAATGTGCGATAGTTAGGACCATTTTTAACCAAGTGGATTGGCTTTTTCTCCACCTCA